GTCCAACCCACACGGGACAGGCCCTGAAGCAGGGCGGGAACACGGGCGCCCCACTCAGGCCCCTACAAGAACGTGGTTAGGTCAAGATGGTGACGCCTGAGGAGGGAGGGAAGGGCAGGTGCCGAAGTGCCGCACAGAGGAAGGAGCGAGGCCCCCTCTTCTGCTGAGACAGGGCAGGGGAGGAGGAACCTCTCGATGGCCCAGAAACCCCTGATCCTCTCCCCAGAGCCAAGACACTTCCGAGTTCGGAGATGAAGCAACAGGAAGTGGCTTGCGAAATCCGCCCCCAGGGCCAGCGCAGGTTGACGAAGTGTGTCTGGCAGGAGTCCTGCCAGCAGCGCTCAGCCCCGGAAGAGCCCTGGCAGTGCCCGCAGCCCTCCGTGGCTGCACTGGCGCAGGGTGCTGGCATCTGCTGCTCGGCAGCTGCAGCGCCGGGGAGGTCCCCAGCTGCCCTGGTGGGCCCTGCCCGGGAAGCCACTGTCACAGCTGAACTGGGGAATCCCACGGGCAGCAGCCCCACTTCCTTCACCAAACGAATGCGAGCAAAGGACAGGGCCTTACCCGCCCAGCAGGCCTGGCAAAGGCGCCCAGAGCAGGGCAGGGCCGGGGCAACAAGAGCTGCTATGCCAGGGTGGGGGCCTCAACAAGAGAGCATCCTGTCTACCGTGGCATCTCATCGTGGGGAAGGTCGGGGTGAAGCAAAGATACTGGGCATCGTCACACAGGCGCTTCAGCAAAAACAGCCCCCACATGGGGGATGAGGGCGCTGCCCAGGACGCAGGCAGAGGGCTCTGGTCACTGCCTGGCCACCCCATCCACCACTCAGGCTCCTCCCTGAGCGCCCGGCAGGAGTCAGGCAGGCTGCCAAGGCCACATCCACACTGGCCAGGGCCACTCGAGCTCCCCGAGGGAAGCCAGATGACAGTCACCCGGACGCTGGAGGACGGCACCTGCATAGTGGAGCCGAGCGCCCCCCGAAACGGTCCAGACTGCCCGTGTGACAACTGTGAAGTAGTGTGCATAGGCAGCTGGCACAGTGGGTATTTCCACCCACCCAGGTGCCCCAGAAGTTTACAGGAAAAGTCTAAGAGCTCATGACACTGCCATACCAGCTACTTAGGAGGCTGAGGCAGGAGGATTGCAAGTCTGAGCCCAGCCTGGGTAACAGACTGTCTGAAAATTTAAAAAACACTCTATGGCCATATCACCCTGAAGATGCCTGATCTTGTCAAAATAAAAAAGTACAAACAGCCGCAATTATAGTTCAGCGATACAGTACTTGAGTAAACCCATTAAACCCTGGCTTCCATCCTTAGCACTCCAAAAAAAAAAAAAAAGGAAGGCAAACAAACAAGAATAAAGGAAGGGAGGGAGAGGAGAGAAGAAAAGAAATCTTAACTGAGCATGGTGGCACTTGAGTGTAATGCCAGCACCTGGGAGGTCGAGGCAGGAGGATCAGAAGTTTGAGGCCAGCCTCAGCCACATGATGCATTCGAGCCTGCCTCAAAACAAAAGACTGCAGTGGTATATACGGAAACCTATAGTCCCAGCGCTCGAGGCTGAGACAAGCAAATTCTGATAACTAGGGGAGCCTGAATGACAGAGTGAGATACTATCTCAAAAAAAGAAACAAAAAGTGGGTGATGAGCCCCTCCGAAGCCCTGACACCCCAGGAGTCCTGCTTCTGCTGTGGGCATGGTCCTCTCCCACACAGCCCGCCCCGCCCGCTGCTCCTCCAACCCCAGCGGCCTCTCCAACCACACGGCCTCTTGCGGCCGGCTGGGCCAGTGCCACAGCTGGATGTCCACACAGCAGACACGTCCTCGGCCACACACCGGATGGCCAGGACCTGAAGGCAGGGTCACAGGCCGCATCAGGGGCTCCGGGGACGAAGCTCCCTCCCTGCCTCTGTCCCCACGGTCCCCGTCTGGGCCAGGCCTCTCCATCTTCCTCACAAGGACACTGGAGGGACATGCAGGGTCTCCCCACCTAATTCAGGGCCCTGGA